TTGAGGAAAGAGTTGTTAAAATCCTACTCCTCAGATGAAGATGCACCACTTGTTCACAAACCACGTAGCTATTCAGTGGCTGCGCCTAGACCTTGGTGTGTGGCCAGCAGGGCCTTGAGCATAGCTGCAGACCTGAGCCTGTGAAAACCACAGACCTGGACTTTGAGTCTCTATGGACCAAGGACCCCATGCTGCCTTAGCATGTGACTGTCTCTGATCCCCAGTTTCCAGAGTCTTCTGGGCTGAGCTCCTACCAAGTCTCTCAGCAGTCGATCTTGGCAATAGCTTATCCCCCTCTAAACGTCCATGCCTGCCTGGTATCTCAGCTCCCAGCTGGCCTCCTCCCCCTGGGCAGTCAGAGTGGCCCAGGGTCGGGTGGAGACAGGGTGGAAAGGAGAGCTGTCTGATGTTGGCAGAGCTACTCCCTAGGCAGAGGAAACGCCGTGAAGGAAGCAAAGAGCAGTGGTAAAGAGATCAAGGGTCAGAGAAGATGGTAGAGCCTCTCTTGAGAGCCATGTTGCCTGGCCCTCTGATGGGCAGTCTTGGCCAGTTCACTTCTGCTCTGGACTTGGAGTCCATGTCTGAGAAGTGAACGGATAGAGGGAATAGTTCCTGTGGCTCTTCTAGGCTGATGCCCCATGCTTGGTGCCTTACTGCTGTTGATGGTTCTGGGTCCCCTTGTTCCAGGTCCCCCCTCTACTCTTGCATCTGTCACACAGTGCCTCACATCTGAGTCCTGGTCTTCCCTAGCCATGGTCAAGGGCTCCTGGAACTGCCAATGCCCTGGATTCCCAGAGAGAGCTTTACTATGGCTTCTCTTGTCTGTCACCCAGGCTGGAGTGCAGTGGTGCAATCTTAGCTCACTGCAATCTCCGCCTCCCCGGTTCAAGCGATTCTCTTGCCTCAGCCTCCTGAGTAGCTGGGACTACAGGCATGTGCCACCACACCCACCTAATTTTTGTATTTTTAGTAGAGATGGGGTTTCACCATGTTGGTCTCGATCTCTTGACCTCATAATCTGTCCACCTCAGCCTCCCAAAGTGCTGTGATTACAGGTGCGACCCACCGCGCCCGGCCTTACTATGGTTTCTCTATGTAGAGAGAATAGACTTGAGGTTCATCCAAGAGAACCAGGTTCCACCACTTATTTGCTGAGTGTCTTTAGGCAAGTTATTTAACCTCACTGTATCTCAGTTGCCTTATTGGTAAGTTATAGTATGTTTACAATGATTTAGGAAATCCATGAGTCTATGTAGAGCACTCAGCATGAAATAAGCATTTGATCTCATCTTCTGGGATGGAAAGGGTAAGGGTGCGGGTGTGAGCTGGAAGGAGAGTGCTGTCCTATCAAAGAACAAATGTGGCATTTGGGATGCTGTTCTGCAGTATTTCCTCCTGTCCCAGAGCAGGGAAAACTAAATTGTTCTGAAATTAATACATGGATGGAGAGGCTGAGAATTGAGTTTCCTTTAAGGAAAAATGAGTCTCTGGCAAATATTTCATTAGGGGAGATGCAGACGCAGCAGGGCTCATCCTGTCTAAGCCTCCTCCTTCTCCCCTGGCCCACTGGATTTCCACGTGGCTTCCCCAAAGAAGCCCCAGCTCTCTCTCCTGCCCCACCCTGCCATCCCCCAGGCTGCTCTCATGGCCTGGCAGCTATTGCACATGCTCCTGTGCGGCCTCTGGGTCATCAGGTACGTGCTGGGAAGTGAGGGTTTGTCTCTTGCTCAAACCATGAGGACCCCAGGAGGAAGAACAGCCTATTTTCTTCCCTTCCCAAGTTCACTCACATGGTACCAGAGGGGGTGTTCCTGGAAGCACAGAACCATCTCCATTATTTCTCAGCTCTCCCACTCCACTCCCTGCTCTGATCTTCTGTGTGCTCGTCCTGCCTAGTGGTGGTGGTGGTGGGTGAGGGGTGTGTGTGTGTGTGTGTGTGTGTGTGTGTGTGAGAGAGAGAGAGAGAGAGAGAGAGAGAGAGAGAGAGGGAGAGAGAGAGAGAGAGAGAGAGAGAGAGAGAGAGGGAGAGAGGGAGAGAGAGAGAAAGGGAGAGAGAGAGATAAAGAGAGGAAGAGAGAGAGAGAGAGATAGAGAGAGAAAATGGGAGAGAGAGAGAGAGAGAGAGAGAGAAAGCCATCACAGCAGTCTGACCCAGGCAGAAAAGAGAGGAGAAAGCAAGTCCCAGCAGGAACCATTAGAACCAGAGTCAGCAGGCAAGCAGGCTCGGCCTCTGGAATGCTGTCTCCTGAAACAACAGGCAACAGAACTGGGCACAGGGACTCAGAGCTCCACGCCCCTGCTCAGCTCTATCCTGCTCAGAGGAAGGCACTCAAAGGACACAACCCCTCCAGCTGACAGACGGCCCCACCCACCTTCGCCCTCTCCCCATGGACATAGGCTCATTCATGTGGGGTAGGGACTGGAAGGGGCATGGACTCCATTGTGAGATTTACCAAAGACATGAACTCAGCGAACATTGTAATTTGCTGATTAAAAATTTAATCCCCATCTTAAGATCAGAAAACTGAGTATGGAGAAGTTGGCATTGGGGCTGGTAGGTGGGGAGGCCTGGAGCAAGTCAGGCTGCTCTAGCTGAGGGGAGGGGTTTGTCAGGCTGCTGGGATTTCGGGGCAGAGGGAAGGGGGAAATTGAGGAGGGCCCAGGAGCCCACTGGGAGGGAGGGATGGGATGGGGGCAGGACACATCTTCCTGTTGGAGCTGGGTGTGTGGATGCTCCCAGTCTATTCTCAGTTGCAGGAAATAGAAAGAGCCTGGACTTCAGGGTGAGACAGACCTGGGCTAGCATCCGGCTGTGTGGTCCTGGGGAAGAGGGCCCTGCCCAATACAGAGTGATTACAACGTGACAACGCTTCCTCCTACCAAAGTGCAGGCCTAGAATGGATCTTGGCCCATTTCTGAAAGTCTGACAAGAAAGAAAAGAAAAGAAAAAAGAAGAGAAAAGAAGGGGAAAGAAAGAAAAGAGAAGGAGAAATCTCCATTATTTTTCTTTTCTTTCTCCACGTTTCACCACCTCCTCTTACCCCTCCCCTTTCCCACCTCAGCCTCTTAATTCCATACCTCAGGGGGAGGGAGAAAGACAAGCCAGGGGGTGGGAGCTGGGACAAGAGCAGGTGGAGGGGAGGAAAGGAGGATTTGGGGTGGGAGCGAGGTTAGCAAGCACTGCAGCCCCGAGACCTCTCTCCTGGCTCTTATTTTGGTCGCTCCAATGGACATGTGGCTCTGCCATGCCCAGTCCAGAGACTAAAACACATAAGGTGATAATAATAATGACAATGGCCTTTCTGCCTCCGCTGCCGCCATGGCCCCTGTGAAAAAGCTTGTGGCGAAGGGGGGTAAAAAGGAAGCAGGTTCTGAAGTTCACTCTTGATTGCACCCACCCTGTAGAAGATGGAATCATGGATGCTGCCAATTTTGAGCAGTTTTTGCAAGAAAGGATCAAAGTGAACGGAAAATCTGGGAAGCCTGGTGGAGGGGTGGTGACCATTGGAAGGAGCGAGAGCAAGATAACCGTGACGTCTGAGGTGCCTTTCTCCAAAAGGTATTTGAAATATCTCACCAAAAAGTATTTGGAGAATAATCTACATGATTAGTTGCGCGAAGTTGCTAACAGCAAAGGGTTACAAATTAGGTTACTTCCAGATTAACCAGGACGAAGAAGAGGAGGAAGACAAGGATTAAATTTCATTTATCTGGAATATTTGTATATGTTCTTGAATAAAACTTGGGAACCAAAATAATAATAATAATAATAGGCCGGGCACGGTGGCTCACGCCTGTAATCCCAGCACTTTGGGAGGATGAGGTGGGCAGATCACAAGGTCAAGAGATTGAGACCATCCTGGCCAACATGGTGAAACCCCGTCTCTGCTAAAAATGCAAACATTAGCCGGGTGTGGTGGCACGTGCCTGTGGTACCAGCTACTCGGGAGGCTGAGGTGGAAGAATCACTTGAACCCAGGAGGCGGAGGTTGCAGTGAGCCAAGATTGCGTCACTGCACTGCAGCCTGATGACAGAGCAAGACTCTCAAAAAAAACAATAATAGTAACAATAACAACACTCGCAGAGGGCCTACCATGTGCTAGGCACTGTTCTACACACTTTACTTGGGGTGACTTTTTTTTTTTTTTGAAACAGAGTTTCACTCTTGTTGCTCTGGCTGGAGTGCAATGGCGCAGTCTCTGCTCACTGCAGCCTCCGCCTCCTGGGTTCAAGTGATTCTCCTGCCTCAGCCTCCCAAGAAGCTGGGATTACAGGCGTGTGCCACCACACCCAGCTGCCTTTTGTATTTTTAGTAAGATGGAGTTTCACCATGTTGGCCAGGCTGGTCTCAAACTCCTGACTTCAGTTCCTGCCCGCCTTGACCTCCCAGAGTGATAGGATTACAGGTGTGAGCCACGAGACCCGGCTGACACTACCTTTACTCAGACAAATTGAGTGTAACTGCTTCTGGCTGTCATGATTGCCTTAGCTTCATAGTAAGTATTGAATTCAGATAGACTTAGTGTTCCAACTAAATTCTTCTTTTTCAAAGCTGGTTTTAGCTATTCCAGGTCCTTTGCATTTCCATATGGCTTTTGTAACGAAGCTTGTCAATTCTACAAAAATCCTGCTAGTGTTTTGATTGGGAATGTGTTTGATCCATAGATTAATTTGGGGAAAACTGGGTGGAATGTAAGAGTGGAAACCTAAACAAAGCTGATACTATAGCATTTATCATAGGGTTTGACATTGTCTCTTTATTGTTTTTCTTCCCCAAATGGCTGTAAACACTTGAGGCCAGGACCGTGCTTCATTTCCCACTTACTACTCACCGTTGCATCCCCAGCCCTGAACACTGAGGCTAGCAGATAATAGTTGCTCAATACATATTTGTTACAGGAACACATATTTATTTGATTATTTATTTGTTTATTCAACAAATATTCTTTTTTTTTTTTTTTTTTTTTTTTTTTTTTGAGATGAAGTTTCGCTCTTGTTGCCCAGGCTGGATTGCAATGGTGCGATCTCAGCTCACTGCAACCTCCGCCTCCTGGGTTCAAGCGATCCTCCTGCCTCAGCCTCTCAAGTAGCTGGGATTACAGGCATGCATCACACTAGCTAATTTTGTATTTTTAGTAGAGATGGGGCTTTTCCCTGTTGATCAGGCTGGTCTCGAACTCCCCACCTCAGGTGATCCTCCCGCTTCGGCCTCCCAAAGTGCTGGGATTACAGGCATTAGCCACCGTGCCCGGCCATAAAATGTATCCTTACTTTCACCCTACTTTCTGTTTCCCTTATAGACAAAGTCTTCTCGCATAAATGCGTGTTGAATCACTATCATGTTTTAGGAAGTATGCCCAGGCTGTGCTTCTTTTTGAAGGCTGTGTATTTGTGTGTGTGTGGTATGTGTGGGCACATGCACACAAGTCTGTGCCTGATGAATGTGCCAGAGCCACCAGAACCCTTTCTCTAATACCAGTCACTTCGATATATCATTTGTTTCTTCCATCCTAGGACTTACGGAGAGGCAGCTTGGGAAGGCCAGGTGTGCGTAACATGTTTAAAGTCTTTCTCCTTTCTCTATGTGAATTAAATAATCATGTCTGTTTTTCTTACCTCGGAAACATGACTTTCCCCAAGTCTAGAGTTGGAGGAAACTACCTTCACTTAGACAAATTTAGCGTAACTGCTGCTAGCTGGTAGAGGTGGTACTTACTCTGTGGTTTTAAGGTTGCCTTTCCGTGGATGCTATAGGAGCTCTCCCCAGGCTGGGTGAGGGGCTGAAGGAAGCGGTTCAGCTCTGCATTTATCTTCGGCTGTTTTCTCTGCCATTTGACTGAAGCAATTTCCAGTGATGAATGAAGTGAATGGTTAAAGCTTATTTTTCCATCAAAATTCAATTCCTGCAAGGAGAAGAGGGAGGAGAGAGAGGGTGTAAATCATTGATCAAACTTTATTTAAGCACCAAGCTTCCCTTCTGCAGAAAATCCAATTGCCTGACAGAGGAAGACAGCTTCTTCCCTCGAGATCCATGAGGTTGGGTGTTCTCTACACTAACTCATCCTGTTAGGGCTGCACCGGAAGTCGGCTTGGCACAGCAGAAGGAACAGATTCACTTGGGACTGGAATCTGGTTCTGCCACTTGCTGGCTCTGTGACTTTAGCAAGCAACTTCACATCTCTCAGCCAGTTTCATCCATGAAAAGGTAATTCATAGTTCCTACTATACAGAATTGGTGTCATGATTTGAGAACAAGGTATGTAACAGCACATATGTTGTGGGCAGGCTGTAGATAGCTCTCATCATGCTTCTGGTTTGGGAGCTGAGTGTGAGCACAGACGCCTGTGTGAGTGCTTGGAGGTAAATGCCCTGTGCGGGAGGTGAGCGTGTGTGCTGTGTGTAAGGAGAGCTCTGAGAGTCTGTGGGGCTGTGGTCTCTCTGTGGGGCCTGCATTCTCCAGCATTCTTGGAGAGGTCTCCAGAAAAGCATCAGAGGAAATCTCTGAGGGGTTGTCTGGGAACTGTGGGGGCTTTGCATCCCTTTCCTGGAAGCAGTAACAACTGTTGGGCCCCATGCCCGCACCCCTCTCAATCCCTAGTGACTTGTTAAAAGACTTCAAAGAAGAAACTTCAGACTAGAAATCTCACTTGCCATTCAGATTTGTTAACATTGAGGACACAACCCTGAAGAACATGTCTGTGGATGTTAATTAGCCTCTAGAGAGGGAGAAAGGAGAGAACAGAAGAATCACAAACAGAACTGTCGAGGGCCAGAAAAATGCTGCAGCTGCCGGACACGGTGGCTCACACCTGTAATCCCAGCACTTTGGGAGGCCGAGGCTGGTGGATCACCTAAGGTCAGGAGTTCAAGACCAGCCTGGCTAACATCATGAAACCCCATCTCTACTAAAAATACAAAAATTAGCCAGGCATGGCGGCACATGCCTGTAATTCCAGCTACTCTAGAGGCAGAAACAGGAAAATTGCTTGAACCCAGAAGACAGAGGTTGCAGTGAGCCAAGATTGCACCACTGCACTCCAGCCTCGTCAAGACCAGCTCGGTCGTAGAGACCCCAACGCAGGCAGCGCTGAAGGAATTAAGAAACAAAAAGAAAGACAGAGTGCAAAAGTGGGACCAAAGTGGGGCCGTCAGGGGCTGACAGCATTTCCCAGCTGACAGCCCAGAGCAGACTCTGACCCATGTGTTTATTCTTTGTGAACAAGTGATTGTTTTTAATAAGCTGGTGCTCAGTGTTTCTTCATAGAGTAAAGATAGACTCAACAGGCATTAGTGCTTATTCCTACTAAGACAGAAATAAGCTAAAAAACACTGCGAGTCAGCAGTGGGGACAAGGTCAAATATCCTGTGCTTTGGGAGCTGGTTTAACTAGTGCATGACCGGTACATGCTACTTGCTTATTCTAGCAGTTTCCTGCCTGGGGATGGATGGCTGGGTGTTCCTTGCCATTGCCTCCGTTGCCTCTCAGCAAACAACATATACTCTGTCACACACACGTCAAGACCTCCTCCCAACACGGTCTGGTGACAGAGTGAGACTCTGTCTCTCTCTCTCTCTCTCTCTCTCTGTCTCTCTTACACACACACACACACACACACACACACACACACACACACACAGCTGCAGAGACGCAGAGGGAAAGGGAGTTACTCCCCGAATTTTGTCAAGAATAACCTCAAGGACACACATGGCTCACGGTGATGGTAAAAAAGACTCAGGATCAGCAACAAAAGGGCCTGATCCCAGAGGACAGTCAGTGGGATGAGAGGTAGAGCTGGCTTGGGTTTCCCTTTTTAAAGAGGCAAATGAAGTGGTCTGTGCTGGGCTGACCCTGCACAAGGACAGGGGCCTCACAAGATGGAATGCAACAGGCCCTGGGAATATGGGGTGGGGCCTGAGAATAGCCGTCCGGGCCCTCCAGTCTTTCATTTTTACAATTTCAGTAGCTTTTGGGGTACAAGTGGTTTGGTTACATGGGGGAAATGTATTTTGGTAAAGTAGACTTCCGGTTTTAGTGCATCCACCCCCCAAGTAGTGTCCAGTGCTCCCAGTATGCAGTTTTAGATCCCTCTCTCCCCATTCTGATATCCGAAGTTCATTTCACCACCCTTTATGCCTTTGTGTGTCCATAGCTTAGTTCCCACTTGTAAGTGAGCACATAAGGTGTTTGCTTTTTCATTCCTGTGTTACTTCACTTAGAATAATGCCTCCAGCTCCATCCAAGTTGCTGCAAAGGACATTATTTGTTCTTCTTTATGGCTGACTAGTATTTTATGGTGAATATATACCATATTTTCTTTTTCTCTCTTTCTTTTCTTTTTTTTTTTTTTTTGAGACAGTCTCGCTTTGCCACCCAGGCTGGAGTGCAGTGATGTGATCTTGGCTCACTGCAGCCTCCGCCTACTGGGTTCAAGTGATTCTCCCACCTCAGCCTCCCCATTAGCTGAGACCACATGCATGCAGCACCATGCCCAGCTAATTTTTATATGTTTTGTAGAGATAGGGTTTTGCCATATTGCCCAGGCTGGTCTTGAATTCCTGTATTCAAGTGATCCTCCTGTGTCAGCCTCCCAAAGTGCTGGGATTACAGGCATGAGCCACCACACCCAGCCCTATACCACATTTTATCTATTCACTCATTGGTTCACCCCAATCTTTCTTTCTTGCACCCATGTACTCTCGCCACTTATATCTGAACTCTTATTTTATTAGGAAGCATAAAAAAGGAATATTTAACACCACGTACATTTATAAATACTATCTTATGGCTGGGCACAGTGGCTCACACCTGTAATCCCAGCACTTTGGGAGGCTGAGAAAGGTGGATCACTTGAGGTCAAGAGTCTGAGACCAGGCTGACCAACATGGTGAAACCCCCTCTTCACTAAAAATACAAAAATTAGCCAGGTGTGGGGGTTGGCACCTGTAATTTCAGCTACTTGGGAGACTGAGGCAGGAGAATTGCTTGAATAAGAAGGCAGAGGTTGCAGTGAGTGAGATCATGTCACTGCACTCCAGCCTGGGTGACAGAGTAAGACTCTGTCTCAAAAAAAGGAAAAGAAAAGAAAGAAAAAAGAAAACTATGTTATTCATTTATTTATTTTTTGAGACAGAGTTTTGCTCTGTCACCCAGGCTAGAACCTAGTTCCATGATCTTAGCTCACTGCAACCTCCATCTCCAGGTTCAAGCCATTCTCCTGCCTCAGCCTCCCGAGTGGCTGGAAGTACAGGTGCCCACCACCATGCCCAGTTAAGCTTTGTATTTTTAGTAGAGACCGAGGATTTATCATGTTGGTCAGGCTGGTCTCGAACTCCTGATCTCAAGTGATCTACCCACCTCGGCTTCCCAAGAAAACTATGTTATTTAATTCTAACATTCTTCATAGGAAGTAGATACTTAGGAAAATTATCTCCACTTTACAGATAAAGAAACTTGAACATCAAAAGGTCACACCTGAGTCTGTCTCCTGCTTCTATCCTTTGGGTCTTGAAAGTCTGAGTTGTTGCTATCAAATTATTTCAATCTTCATTTTCCCCTGGTTACCAAGTAAATGCATGCTTTCTAAAGGCATTTATAGGCTGGGCACTGTGGTTGATGCCTGTCATCCCAGCACTTTTCGGGAGTTTGAGACCAGCCTGATCAACATGGAGAAACCTTGTCTCTACTAAAAATATAAAATCGGCCGGGCGTGGTGGCGCGTGCCTGTAATCCCAGCTACTTGGGAGGCTGAGGCAGGAGAATCCCTTGAATCCGGGGGAGCTGAAGTTTCGGCAAGCCGAGATCACACCATTGCACTCCAGCCTGGAAACCACAGTGAAACTCTATCTCAAAAAAAAAATAATAATAAATAAAAAATAATACAAAAATCATTTGCAATCTGTAGTGATTTCTATTTTCTTCTATTTTCCTTATGACTAATGATTATAGTTAGTGAGATGCTGTGTTAGGAATGCCTTCTTTGTTTGTTTGAGACAAAGTCTCACTCTGTTGCCTCCAACTCCTGGGATCAATGATTCTCCCACCTCAGCCTCCTGAGTAGCTGGAGCTACAGGCATGTTCCACCACACCAGGCTGAGGAATGTTTTCAACTATAAGAAACAGACCTTTGGGAGGCCGAGGCGGGTGGATCACAAGGTCAAGAGATCGAGACCATCCTGGTCAACATGGTGAAACCCCGTCTCTACTAAAAATACAAAAACTCAGCTGGGCACGGTGGTGCGTGCCTGTAATCTCAGCTACTCAGGAGGCTGAGACAGGAGAATTGCCTGAACCCAGGAGGCGGAGGTTGCTGTGAGCCGAGATCCTGCCATTGCACTCCAGCCTGGGTAACGAGTGAAACTCCGTCTCAAAAAAAAAAAAAAAGAAAAAAGAAACAGACACTGTAATCCCAGCACTTTGGGAGGCTGAGGTGAGTGGATCACTTGAGCCTAGGAGTTCAAGACCAGCCTGGGCACCTATAGTACCAACTACTGGGGAGGCTGAGGTTGGAGGATTGCTTGAGCCCAGGAGACAGAGGTTACAGTGAACCAAGATGGCACCATTGCACTCCAGCCTCTCTATCTTAAAAAAAAAAAAAAAAAAACCCAGACAACTTGACTATCAGCACAAAGATAAGAGGTGTTTAAAAAATAGAGAATTATAGCTGGACACGGTGGCTCACACCAATAATCCAGCACTTTGGGAGACCGAGGTGGGCAGATCACGAGGTCAGGAGATTGAGACCATCCTGGACAACATGGTGAAACCCCATCTCTACTAAAAATACAAAAATTAGCTGGGCATGGTGGCACATACCTGTAGTCCCAGCTACTTGGGAGGCTGAGGCAGGAGAATCACTTGAAACCGGGAAGCGGAGGTTGCAGTAAGCTGAGATCGAACCACTGCACTCCAGCGTGGCGACAGAACAAGACTATATCTAAAAAAAAAAAAAAAATTGAGATGTATTTTGCTTGTATAACAGAAAACCTAGAGGTAGGCAGTTACCACTGCTGGTTTAGTGGTTCAGGAATGAATCGCAGCTTGAAAATGCTCTTGGCCTTTGCCTCGTGGTTACAGAATAGCTGCTGCAGCTCAAAAAATCACAACCATATTCAATGCAGTAAGAAGAGAACATCAACTCTTCCTTTATAAATAATGAAAAGATTTCCCAGAGGTATTTGGCAGACTTGTTTACAACCTACTGGCTATACTGGGCCACAAAGCCACTTCTACCTTTAAGGGAGTCTGGGAGAAACATTTGCTCCTCTGGAGACTCTCACTGAAATGAGTTAGGGAGAAGGAGGTTGGGAATGGGAGTTAGGTCGGCCAATCAGAGGTATCTGCTACAGATGCAATGCTCTGATTGGCCAGGCCTGCTTCATACGCCCACCTCTGGAACCTTATGGACCCTGCTTTTCCACAATCACATGGATGGAAAGTGGTGGAGAAAAATTGGGTGCTGTAAGCATAAAGGGAAATGGATGTTAGGAAGGCAAGAGGAAGGCAGCATTAGGTGCTCCACATAGATGGTTTTGTAAAATCCTCACCACATGCCAGGCGGGGTGGCTTATGCCACCCCAGCACTTTGGAAGGCTGAGGCGGGTGGATCACAAGGTCAGGAGATCGAGACCATCCTGGCCAACATGGTGAAACCCCGTCTCTACTAAAAATACAAAAATCAGCTGGGTGTGGCAGTGCATACCTGTAATCCCAGCTACTCAGGAAGCTGAGGCAGGAGAATCGATTGAACACAGGAAGTGGTGAAGATTGTAGTGAGCCAAGATCGTGCCACTGCACTCCAGCCTGGTGACAGAGCGAGACTCCATCTAAAAAAAAAAAAAGTCCTCGCCACAACTCATAAGGTTTGGAGCACGGAGGGGAAAATTCCCATTATACTTCTGTGAAGCTTCTGGAATTAAGATAATTAAAGAGGATCCTAAGATTGCAAGATTTAAAACACTGCTACAACTTACAACTACTTATTTGTGGAATCAGGATTTTTTTTTTTCTGAGTAACCAAAATAAAATTCAGAAATAAATAGGACACATAAGATTGTAACTATTATCTAACATCTCAATTTCAATTTACCTATTCATCAAAGCAACCTCTTGAATTAGAGTTATCTTCTTTAATATGTTAATACAGTCGTCCCCTCTTACCTGTGGGAGATATGTTCCAAGACCCTCAGTGGATTCTTGAAAAATAGTACCACACCCTCTATCTGTCTCAGCTAAGTACTTATCGTGCATTGTGGCCATAAGTTTTGCAGTTTGAGATTTGACAACAAAACTAGCATAACTTCCTTTTTCCTTTGTCTCAATTTCATGAAAGGAAGGTTCATTCTTATTGTAGATGTAAGCAACCTCAGCAGATGGTTTTTTTCCTATCCTTAAGTCAAGAACTTTTAACTTTTCACTTAAGGGAAGCACTCCGGCCTATTTGTCATTAATATAAAGCATATTCAAATTGCTGTTATGACTGCTGTTGCACTTTAGGGCAATTATGGAGTAAAATAAGGGTTACTTGACACAAGCATTGTGATACCTTGACAGTTGATCTGATAACCTAGAAGGCCACTAAGCGACCTGGGAACTGGTAGTGGATATCCTGGACAAAGGATAATTCATATCCTGGGCAGGATGGCGTGGGATGGTAAGATATTTCATCAGGCTGCTCAGAGTGGTGCACGATTTAAAACTAATGAATTATTTCTGGAGGTCTTCATTTAATAGTTTTTGACTGTGGTTGTAACTGAAACCATGACACTGGTTTTCGCTTTCTGAAAGTGAAACTGCAGATAAGCTGAGGGAAACATAGTCGTACATAACACCATTTTCTTCTGTTTTATATATTGGAGTTCTGCATAAAATTGAGTTTTGAATTTTTCTTTGCTCTCCCATTATCTCGCTTGATCTCACAAAAACCCTGTGTAATCAAGATATTCGTATTATTCCCATTTTACAAATGAGAAAACAGAGGCTCAGAGAGGTTAACTGACTTGCCCAAGGTAAGTAAACAAACAACCCCAGCACAGTGGCTCATGCCTGTAATCCTAGCACTTTGGGAGGCTAAGGTGGATGGATCACGATGTCAAGACTATCCTGGTCAACATGGTGAAACCCCATGTCTACTAAAAATACACACACACACACACGCAAACACAAAACATCTCTATTAAAAATACAAAAAAAAAATTAGCTGGGCGTGGTGGTGCGTGCCTGTAATCCCAGCTACTCGGGAGGCTGAGTCAGGAGAATCACTTGAACCTGGGAGGTAGAGGTTGCAGTGAGCCGAGATCACACCACTGCACTCCAGCCTGGCGACATAGCGAGGCTCCATCTCAAAATAAATAAACAAACAAACAAACAAACAAGTAGGTAAGTGGCAGGACTGGGACTTGAAACCAGTTTTTACAACTGCAAATTCAAACTTCATTCCATTGTACCATGCTGCTCTCGCCATTCATTCCCAAGCTGCCGGGAATATGTGTACCAAGGCTGGTTTCACCCAAAAGGCACGCAAATCCAACAGACAGAAAACGGCCTGTTTGAGGTGGAGGATGGGAGGAAGCAGAAACAGCAGCATTTTTAAGTGACCTGGGCTTCCTGGGCCCCGAGAATTCTCCAAGGGTCCAGCAGGCTGCTTGAAGAGTGCTAGCAAGTTTTCTCCCTCAAATCCAAAAACCCCAGTACTCCACCCAGGAGTCAGGAGGGGTGAACTCTCAGGGATTTCTACCCTGTCAGGGGCTCCAAGGGAGGGAGATGAACCCGAACTACTCTCTAAAGCCATTCTGCAAACCCTGCTGATTCTCACTTTGGCTAAGTGTATTGAGGTGACTGGCTGTTTTCCAGGGGGGGACATTAATGCTTCCTTTGGTTTTGGAGGCTTGGGTTGAGGCAGGAAGATATAACTTTGGCCCTAGATCTCTTTGACTTGCACACCGGTCATCTTCTAGAACGAGGGTTATTACATGTATGGCCAGCCTCACTTAGGGAGATGGGCACTGTCCACTCACTGTCAGGGTGCACTAATGGGTATTAATTAACAGTACACACTAGCCGATGCTTCCTGTTTCAGAGCCTTGGGTCCCCCGTGGCAAGGTGGAGTGAAGGAAACACCAGCCACCACTCCCCACTCCTCTCCCAGGTGGTCTCCCAGCCTGGCACTCGGGAAAGCTTTGGGCTTTGCGTCATTCCCCCTCCCACGCTGCCCTGTGTGTATGAATCGCTCTTTGCCGTTTAAAAACCACCTCTTTCCTGGTAGTGGGACACACCTCGGAAGTTCCACCTCCTCTCCAAATGTCTTTTCAGACCACAGTCTCCTCCTCCTGAGACCTCTGTCCCCTTGAGCACTGCTCCACTCTCAACCACATGTTTTCAGGGAGAGCTGCCCGTTCTTACCTAACTACGCCCCTTACCCAGGGAATGGACCAGAAGTCAGCATTCCCTCTGTGTTATAAACTGAAACTCACTCTCGATGTAGTTATAACAGCTAATATTTACTGAGCACTGTCCTAAGCACGTTACTGATACTAATTCAGTTCATCCTTACTCCAATCTTAAAAATTAGTCACTGCTACTAGCCTAATTTGCAGATAAAGAAACTGAGGCACAGCAAGTTTAACTCCCTCGAATTTACTCAGCTAGAAAGCGGCAGTCAGGATTCGAACCCAGGGAGTCTAGTGTGCTCCCTCCTCCCTCTTTACATTTCCCTTTCTCCTCTTTTATAACGTTTTCAACAGACAGAAAGGTAGGCAGAATTGTGTAATGAATTCCACACACCTGTCACCTCAATTTAACAACTGTTAACGTTCTGCCATATTCACTTCATCTATTTTTAAAAGTCTCTAGTAGATAAAGATGTTTAAAAATAACATTGCCACAATATCATGATCACGCTCTAAACCAACAGCAATTTCTTCATATCTTCTAATAGTCCATGTTCAATTTTTTTCTGATAATTTCAAAAAATACAGTTTTTAAATTTAAATGAGGTTCCAAAATTTACACATTGCATTCGGTTGAAATATCTCTCAGTCAAGTCTTACATTATAGACTAAGTTTTGATTATAACCCTCCCACCGTATTTTCTAAAGTAATTAATTTGTGGAGGAGGCTCCACCATTTGTCCTGGAGAATTTCTCACACCCCGGATTTGGCCACTTGTCTTCATATGACATTGTTCAGCATTTATTCTGCTGTGAAGTGGTGTTAGGTCCAGAGTACTGATTGACGTGGCACACTCCAGATACTTCTCCATCTCCCTGGGAATTCATTTCTACATGCCAAAGATTGGCATCTTACTGCCCAAGGGCTTTTCCTCACCATGAAGCACACTAACTTATGCTCTAAGCAAGTCAGGAATGCAGGAGAATTAACATCCCCAGCAGCAAACCTCAGCCAATAGCCAGGGATTTGGTGGATAAAGACCCCAGCTTCCTTATCTCACAGTTGGGGCAGCTCTGAAATTTGTTCTACGCCGTCTGTCAAAGTTCCCCAGTGGATCTGAGCTCCAGCTGCCAACAGTGGACCTGTCTTACTTTCCCACTCCATTATGGAAGTTTTCTGGGGTCGCCTCCCAAATAAACTACTTAGAGTGAATCCTAGTCTCAGGGTCTGCTTCTAGGCTTACACAAACTGACAACTAGATTCTGCTTCACATCCTTTGAATAAATACTTCAAAGGTTGTGTTATATATTTTCTTTCTTTTTTTTTTTTAATTTTTGAGAAGTAGTTTTTTTGCTCTTGTTGCCCAGGCTGGAGTGCAATGGCATGATCTCAGCTCACCGTAACCTCCATCTCCCGGATCAAGCAATTCTCCTGCCTCAGCCTCCCAAGTAGATGGAATTACAGGCATGTGGCACCACGCCCAGCTAATTTTGTGTTTTTAGTACATATGGGATTTCTCCATGTTGGTCAGGCTGGTCTCAAATGTCCAACTTCAGGTGATCTGCCCACCTCAGCCTCCCAAAGTGCTAGGATTACAGGCATGAGACACTGCACCCAGCCCTTTATTATTATTATTATTATTTTATTTTTTTATTTCACCTTTTTTTTTTGAGATGGAGTCTCGCTCTGTCCCCTAGGCTAGAGTGCAGTGGCACAATCTCGCCTCACTGCAACCTTCACCTCCAGGGTTCAAGCAATTCTTCTGCCTCAACCTCCTGAGTAGCTGGTAAGGCACCTGCCACCATGTCCGGCTAATTTTTGTATTTTTAGTAGAGATGGGGTTTTGGTATGTTGGCCAGGCTGGTCTCGAACTCCTGCCCTCATGATCCGCCCACCTTAACCTCCCAAAGTGCTGTAATTACAGGCATGAGCCACAGTATACGGCCTGTGTTGTATACTTTCTATTGCCTCATATTAGGGGAAACGTGATGATCAGTTGTCCTACTTTGGTTGAAGTCAAGATTAGTGGGTTCAAGTGTCAGCCTGATTAATTTATCATAAATTTTCCAACAACTTATTTCTTTTTTTTTTGAGACGGAGCTTTGCTCTTGTTACCCAGGCTGGAGTGCAATGGTGCAATCTCAGCTCACTGCAACCTCCGCCTCCTGGGTTCAGGCAATTCTCCTGCCTCAGCCTCCTGAGTAGCTGGGATTACAGGCACGTGCCACCATGCCCAGCTAATTTTTGTATTTTTAGTAGAGACAGGGTTTCACCATGTTGGCCAGGATGATCTCGATCTCTTGACCTTGTGATCCACCCGCCTTGGCCTCCCAAAGTGCTGGGATTACAGGCGTGAGCCACTGCGCCTGGCCTCCAACAACTTATTTCTTATTTTCAGCATGAATTATAATGATGGTGGTTTTCTATTTCAATAACTCCTCATGAAATTGTTAGCTGTAGTTCTTCTGTTAAAAATAACTTATTGCTGGGCTTCATGGCTCATGCCTGTAATCCCAGCTACGGGAATTGAGAGGTCAAGGTAGGCAGATCTCCTGAGGCCAGAAGTTTGAGACCAGCCTGACCAACATGGAGAAAAATTAGCTGGGTGTGGTGGCGCATGCCTGTAATCCCAACTACTGGGGAGCCTGAGGCAGGAGAATCGCTTGAACCCAGGAGGCGGAGTGTGCGGTAAACTGAGATGGTGCTGTTGTACTCCAGCCTGGGCAAGAAGAGTGAAACTCTATCTCAATAATAATAATAACAAATAACTTATCTCTTTAATTAACCAGAACACAATTTTTAAAATTAATTAATTAATTTTTTGTTTGTTTTTAAAGACGGATTTTCACCATGTTGGTCAGGCTGGTCTTGAACTCCCGACCTCAGGTAATCTGCCCGCCTTGGCCTCCAAAGTGCTTGGATTACAGGCGTGAACCACCACGCCCAGCTACAATTTTTATAAGAAAGACAGGATAAATCCTTCATTGATATTTTGGTTTTATTTATCCTTTTTTTTTTTTTTTTTTTTTTTTTTTTGAGACAGAGTTTCACTCTTGTTGCCCAGGCTGGAGTGCAATGGCACGATCTCAGCTCACCACAACCTCCACCTCCTGGGTTCAAGTGGTTCTCCAGCCTCAACCTCCCAAGTAGCTGGGATTATAGGCATGCACCAGAACGCCTAGCTAATTTTGTATTTTTAGTAGAGACGGGGTTTCTCCATGTTGGTCAGGGTAGTCGTGAACTCCAGACCTCTGGTGATCCACCCGCCTCCGCCTCCCAAAGTGCTAGGATTATAGGCATGAGCCACCACGCCCGGCCTATCCATTTTTTTTTAAATGAGTTGGTGCTCCAGTAACCTCCAAAGGTGACAAATGATAGGATGGTTTTTTTTAAAATCATAATTATGAACTAGATTTTTAAATTTTTGACCTGTTATCATCTATTGCTGTCATCATTCTTTTGGGTGCTCATATTTTCCCACCTTTGACAACTGATAGTCCAATTGAGTTGACTGTTGTGTCTGTCTGGCATCACCCCAAAGTCTTCTTGGATTTTAGACAAGACGACCCAGGCTTATCTTGTACATTTCTAGCTCCAGCAGGGAATTAAGTATTTTTACAAATAGCCTGGTTCCTTTTAGTGGAAAATGGTATTTGAGAACCCAACACAGCCAGTTGTGATGGTTCACATGTGTAATCCCAGCACTTTGAGGGGCCGGGTGGATCACTTAAAGTCAGGAGTTTGAGACCAGCCTGGCCAAAGTGGTAAAGCCCCATTTCTACCAAAAAATACAAAAATTAGCCAGGTGTGGTGGTATGTGCCTGCAGTCCCAGCTACTGGGGAGGCTGAAGTAGGAGAATTACTTGAACCCAGAAGACAGAGGTTGTAGTGAGCTGAGAATGAGCTACTGCACTCCAACTTGGGTGAAAGAGTGAGACCCTGTCTCAAAAATAAATAAATAAACAAAATTAGCAGGTGTGGTGGCTTGCACAATAATCCCAGCTACTAGGGAGGCTGAGGCAAGAGGATCGCTTGAGTCTGGGAGGTCAAGGCTGCAATGAGCTGAGATTGTGCCACTGCACTCCAGCCTGGGTGACAGAGTGAGATGCTGTCTAAAAATTAAAAAAAAAAGTCGGGTACAGTGGCTCATGCCTGTAATCCCAGCACTTTGGGATGTCAAGGTGGGTGAATCACGAGGTCAGGAGTTCAAGGCCAGCCTGACCAACATAGTGAAACCCCATCTCTACTAAAAAAAAAAAAAATACAAAAATTAGCCAGATGTGGTGGCACACGTCTGTAATCCCAGCTACTTGGAAGGCTGAGGCAGGAGAATTGCTTGAACCCAAAGTGGAGGTTACAGTTATCTGAGACTGTGCCACTGCACTCCAGTCTAGACGACAGAGCAAGACTCTTGTCACAAAAAAAAAAAAAAAAAAAATGAGAACACAACAGGAACAGTAGCCGTGCTCATTGCTACCAGCTTATCGCTGCTTCTAGGTCTTTCTGGTGAACCTGACCAATAAATACATATTTCCTAGAAAGAAAAAAATGTATCCTGAGTTCATACTGTTATTTCCAACTCAAAATATATACGACAGAATTTGCACTATCTTCCTCCCTATTATTTTCCCGGGGATGCTGGAACAAAGCACCACTAACTGAGTGGCGTAAACAGTAATTTATTCTTTCTTAAGTCTGGAGGCTGGAAGTCAGAAATCTAGGTGTTGGCAGGCTGTGCTCCCGGTGAAGGCTCTAGGGAAGAATCCTTCCTTGCCTCTTCCTAATTTCTGGTGGTTGCTGGCAACCCTTGGTGTTCCTTGGTTGGCAGCCTCCTTCATCACCTGGCTTTCCTCTGTGTCTCTGTGTTTAAATTTCCCTCGTCTCATAAGGACAGGAGTCCCTGGATTAGGGCCCACCCTAATCAAGGATGACCTTATCTTCACTTGATGATATCTGCAAAGATTCTATTTCCAAATAAGGTCGTATTCACAAGCACTGGGGACTCAGACTTGAACATATCTTTTGGGGGACACAATTGAATCCGCAATACCTCCTCTTACCTTTTTACACATGACAGCAGTGTATTATTCATAGTCTTCAGTGCTTTGTAGGATCTGGCATGACCTAGTTTCTGCTTCTTAAGATCAATTTGGCAGAAGTATAGAGGCTGAATTGGAGGCAGCAAGTCAAGGAAGGTCATTAGGAAGACATTTTCACATGCTGAGGCGGGAGATAATGAGTAACTGTCCTAAGAAAGTTCGACATCCATATAGACAACTTCTCCAACGCTTTAAAGCTTCCTACGCCTTCTCAGCTACCCACTCACTCCCATGACTGTTCCCTGGATTCTTCACAGTGAACACCACTGCCTATTCCTGTCTAAAACAAAGCTCATGGGCTGGGCGCGGTGGCTCATGCCTGTAGTCCCAGCACTCTGGGAGGCCAAGGTGGGCGGACCACAAGCTCAGGAGTTCAAGACCAGCCTGACCAACATGATGAAACCTCATCGCTACTAAAAATACAAAAATTAGCCAGGTGTAGTGGTGTGCACCTATATTCCCAGCTACTCAGAAGACTGAGGCAGGAGAATCGCTTGAACCTGGGAGGCGGAGATTGCAGTGAGCCAAGATCGTGCCATTACATTCCAGCCTTGGAGACAAAAGACTCCATCTCTTTTTTTTTTTTTTTAAGACGGGGTTTCACCATGTTGGTCAGGCTGGTCTTGAACTCCCGACCTCAGGTGATCCACCCACCTTGGCCTCCAAAGTGCTTGGATTACACCATGCCCAGCCGAGATTCCATCTCAAAAAAAAGAAAAAAAAAAAGCTCATGATCCTCCCCATCTAATGTGTCTTACTCCTTCCGCACCTTCTGTCTCAGTAAATGGCACCACCACCCACCAGTCAGCCAAGGCAGAAACCTGATGTCAACCTGTGTCCTCTCTTTGCTCAGCCCTAACCATTTCACGCTAATTCACAGAGCAACACTGGGTGCGTAGTGGGCTCCAGGCACAGTGCTGGGTGCTAGCCATACAAAGAATATTTAAGCACAGTGTCTGCCCTCAAGGAGCTCACACTTGAGTGGAAAATTATGATGGAGAATTACACAATCCAGTGGTAAAATATACTGAAAATTGTTTTCTCTATTCCACATGTGGAGAGACTATAAAAGCACTAGTTGCCCAAGACTGGTAAGCGGCATGACTAGGACAAATTCAGCTCTGTGTGACTCTACAAAGCGTTTTCTTCTTGTTCTTTGGGTGGCCAGAAATTCCTGCACATTTTATCTTCTAGTGTCGAAGTCTTTTCCACTGCTAATGTCATAAATTCATGAACTTAGTCATAAGCTCATGGTCCCTCCTGTGGACTGTTAACATTTCCTTCTAATTGGCCTCCTTGCCTTGCTGCCTCCAATTCCACCTCTAAACAGCTGCCAAAGTGATCTTGGAAAGTGGAAATCAGGTCTTGCCATTCCCTGCCCAGCAGGGTAAAATCTACACTTCTCAGCAAAACTGCTGAGACCTTTCATGGCCAGACCCTGCCCACTTTTCTAGCCTCTCAAGTCCCAGTATTACCTCAGTTCCCAACACTCGCCTTGGGCAAGTTTCTTAACCGCTCTGGGCCCCAGTTTCTTCTATTGCAAAACAGAGATAATAAAACCTACCTCATAGGTCACTGTGAACACTAAATTAAAGAAAATACAAGGCCGGGCGCGGTGGCTCAAGCCTGTAATCCCAGCACTTTGGGAGGCCGAGGCGGGTGGATCACGAGGTCAAGAGATCGAGACCATCCTGGTCAACACGGTGAAACCCCGTCTCTACTAAAAATACAAAAAATGAGCTGGGCACGGTGGCGCGTGCCTGTAATCCCAGCTACTCGGGAGGCTGAGGCAGGAGAATTGCCTGAACCCAGGAGGCGGAGGTTGCAGAGCCGAGATCACGCCATTGCACTCCAGCCTGGGTAACAAGAATGAAACTCCGTCTCAAAAAAAAAAAAGGAAAGAAAGAAAAGGCATAAGTAAAGCTCTTAGAATCAAGTCTGGCAGGTGCATGCAGCAAATGTTGTGGATATCATTGTTATTGATGTTGGGGCGTTTCTCCTCACTCCCTGCCTAGCAAACCCCAGTCATTGTTCAAGACTCGCCCTGTTAAACCCTAACATCTCCTCCGACATCCCTGAGCAGAATTGGCTGTTGTTTCTGTGTCCTCACTGTGCACAACACAGCATTGCAGGTTGGATTCATGATATTCTATTCACTCATTAGCTAACCTGTCTGTCTCCTCTCCTAGACTGTAAGTCCCTTGATTGCAAAGATGGTGTTTCATTGACTTTGCTTCGCGACACTGAGTACAGTGGCTGGTTGCTGGCCTGTACACAGTAAGGATTTGGCCCGTGGATGTACCAGTCAGTAGGTTGTTCAGCTTCTCTAGCTAAGGATTTTGACCGTCTGGACAAGGGTACCCATAGTCACGCTCCTGACTCTGCCTGGACTCTTCTTGCTGTACCTGGAAACTTGTGCTTCCCACTCCCGAAAAAGAGGTGGCTAATCTCTTGTCATTCCTGCTTCAGAGCACGCCCCTGCCTCCACCAGCCCCAGCATCTGGCTCTGCCTAATGAAATGCTGGATTATTAATGACTTCTAGTCAGCACGTCCAGTTAAAGTCACCTCCCACAGCTGTTTCAGTTTCATCAGAGGCTTCGGCAAGCTTTCTATCCCTCAGTCTTTCAGCCCCCAAAGCCACGTGAGGAGGGGAGATTTCAGTAAGAAACGTTCAGGCCAGCAGCAGCCTATCTGCAGGCTGGTTTCTATCCCCCTCTGTCCCTTTCTTTCTAGGTGTGGAGGAAGCAGGTGGGAGCTGTGGAGGGAGCCAGGATGACAAACGGAACCCAGCGATGCATTATTTCCTCTCAGAACAAATTGATTTGTGTCTGAGGAAATCTGAGTCCAACTTT